GTGAATTTCCTTATAGGGTTATGGTGTCTTTATGACGAATGGGACATCATTCTTAGCGCTGGGGCCATTAATGTTCCACTCGTTTATGCTTTTCCACTGGGTAGTCGTGATCAAGTCTGTCTTTGAGGAGAGAAGGAATACGAGGTGAATAGGCCAGTTAGCCTTAGAGCTCACACGCTTTAAGCTTATCACATAGTGCCTGGTTTACCCACCCTGAAGTCCTCCCTACCTCTAAGCTTAGCCTGAGGCAATATGTGTAAGTGAGAGCCCAGGGAAACGGGAAATGTGCGTTGAAACAGCGTAATGCCAAAAACGAATGTCATATTCGTAATCAGGACACCAAATAACCCCTATACAGAAGTTTACACCGAATTTGGTGAAAACAAGTGTCGTGACAAGGTGACGCCAACTGGCGCCAGATGGCGCCACCGCTAAAATGAAAGTCATTTTCGTAATCAGGGCATCGAATTACCTCTATAGGCAAATTACGGTGGTTTCCAGACATACAAATCACACTGTGTGAGCTGATGTGCTTTCACGTATAATCGCCTCTATTCCTAATTGTTTCTGCATGACGTCATTCAGGTTATTGAGTATATCCACCAATGGAATCTTTACCCAGGTGGTAAAGTAAGCAAGGTGTAGCAGAATCATGACAGGCCTCTGCACTTGCGTGTACAGAGTGGCCGAAAAGTATAGGACGCGGCTTTGACCGCTTGCTGGCACTGAGCCGTGGAGTATTTTCAGAGTGTTTCGAAATCTTCGAAAGCTTTGAAACTATGTAAGAAGCACCATAAGTTGTTTGGTCCAAAGTTCATCTGAACTCTCGCCATGAAGATTTTTTTGCATCGAGATTGCCCAATGACGGTCTCTGAAATTGCAACTTCGGAAAGCGACTCGGTATTCCCTCTTCAACTCTTTGAAACATGTTCGGTGCTCTCAAGGTTCAAGCACACGTCTCTGGGATTGCGAAAAGTGGAAGTTCAAGAACTGTGCACACTCAGAGGATTGGGGCAATCACCTAGAAGAGGATGGCTCACAACGATGAAGCCAGCGTGAGTCACATCGCTTTTGATCTCAGGATCTGCCGTCACTCCTTCCAGAAAATCTTGGGAAGCAATCATTATTTGAAGGGTTACCGACTCTTTCTATGCTGGTTTTATTGGAGCAACCCGAATAGATTCAGCAGGTGTAATGCAAAAAGATTCTGCACAAGCTCGAGGTGCGCCGCGC